GTCTTCTGCTCAGAATGACAAATGGAGTTTGCATTTTCCTTTTGAGGAGAGCTTGATTAAGACTGTCTGCATTTTTTGGTTAATCTGATAATAAAATGGGGGGACAGGGCAAGCAGAAAAATTCACATTTATTGGTAATACCAGGTATGATCACCAATATGTGATGAACAGTCAAAAAAATACTCAATTTTTTTTGAGAACTCTGCCGGCAGGCTTAGAAGCCATTTGGATAACAAACACAAGCAGAGAGGAAATATACAACTAAAAAAAAAAAGGAAAATTGCAAGGTTACAACATGCTATCATAGCACCAAATGAAAATACACAGGTCCCTTGACCAGTCTGCACCAGTACTTAGCTGAATGCAAGTTTATATTCCAGATACAGGAAATTAAAATATACAAACCATTCATTCTTCCATCAATTCACTTATAGGTGATGAAAACAGCCTGGCTCTGGCTATGGAAAGTGTCTGATTCACAGTGTTTGAATTAGCAGATATGTGGGCAACTCTGGTAAAAAAAAAAAAAAGGAGTTGTGTTCTGTGGAAAAGCAGGCTATATTTTGCTTCAGTTGGAAACCTTTTAGCAAATATGTAGGATATAGCAAATAGAGGGGAGAAAGCACATTTATACACCCTAAAAGCAGCATGACAAGATACTGGATATGTGAACATTTCCCAACACTGAAGTGAGGAGCCTCAGGGACTGAAAACTAAGCAGACATTAGGCAATAGCCTGTAGCAAGAGAGACAGCTTCAGTATTTGTGTTGGCTTGGTAGCTTGTCTCAGCCAAGTTTTATTCTGTGCTTGCTTCATTGCAATGTGTAGGAAACAAAAAAAAAAAAAAAAAGAAAATGAGATCCTGACAAAACTCGGACACAAAAGAATGCATGAAAGGGTGGAGCAAGAAACATGGAAGGAACAGAGACACCATCTGAGCATGCAGAAGCACACAGAAAACCAAAATCCACTTGGAATTTGAGCCATGCAAGGTTTTGATGGGCTGCACCAATGAATGCTGAGGGAGCTGGCAGATATTGCAAGGCCACTCTTGATAATCCTTGATGGATGATGGCAATTGTGAGCAGTGCCAGACAAGCAGAGGAGACCAAACATCACCCCTGTCTTCAAGAAGAGAAAGAATAAGGATCCATGTTGAACACAAGTCAGCATTGCATCATTGTGGCAAAAAAGGTTAAAGGCATCCTGAGCTGCACTGGGCAAAATATTTCCTGCAGGTTGAGGGAGGTGATCCCTTCCCTCTTGTTATGAACAAGTTCATCTGTTAATATGGTTAGAGCGGTTAATGCACTTAAGGTTAATTATGTTAATTAACTCATTGTTAAATGTTAAACCCCTGTTGACCCCCACTGTTAAGTCCCTTACGTACACCTTGGTTGCACCCCTCTACTGTACCTGTAACCCTTGTCGTGTCCATTGGGTATTGCCTCCGATGCGCCAGAAAATGGCGACCGGAACATTCCCGGGAAATATGCAAATCAAGAAAAGTGCAAGAACATCCAACAAAAGACCCTAGAAACAACGAGCCAACCTAAAATTTGGACAATTAACCAACTAGACCTACTGGCAAGAAATCTCTCTATGCTACCAACATGATTTTAAGCATCACCATAACCTAAGTAGAACTGAGTCAGAGTGAGGACCCCAGCCGACGAGCCAAAGGACGTTTTCCTAGGCACGCCCATGAGGACAGAAGCCCCAGTTCTGCTGAGAAGCAAAACTGTTCACCCCCTCCCCTGCGTTGCCAAAGGGAGCAGCAGCGGTGTGTGCGACCCCTCGGGCCCCCACCCAGAGCTGGTCACTTCAATAAAGGCCTCCAAGAGGAGCTGGTCTCCTTGCCCATTTATCTCACTGTCCTCTGCACTAATGAGGCCACTTCTGGAGTTCTGGGCTCCCCCATGCAACAAATACATCAATCTAAAGGGGACAGAGTGAAGGGCCACGAAGCTGATGAAGAGGCTGGAGCATGTCTTCTGTGAGGAAAGGCTGACAGAGCTGGGATTCTGCCTGGGGCAAAGAAGGCTCAGGTGGGATTTCATCAGTGTATGGAAATACCTCCAAGGTGGGGTACAGAGAGGACAGAGCCAGTAGTGCCCAGAGGAAATGGGCACACACAGGAGGCTCTGTCTGAAGATCAAGTAGGTGGCCTGGCTTGAGCAGAGGAACAGAAGCAGATCACTTCCAGAGGTCCCTTCCAAGCTCAACCACTCTGTGACTGTGGAAAAATTATGACTGGATTTTGAAAGCATATAGCCATAACAGCACTCTCCTTCAGGTCACTCAACCCGTGCTAAGTTTAATAGGACAATATTGAAAGAACGGGAAGGGCAGGAAGAGAAAAATATTTCTTTCAGTCTCTTCTTTCTGTCAAGATAAACAATTGCACTGCTGCCAGGTCTTAATTTTCTTCCATGTTTGACTACACTCAGCATAGCACAGTGGAACATTGAGCAATCACAGCACCTCACTTCTCTCACATTGATGAGCCTGGGGAAAAAAGTCCCCAACAAAAAACAACTCCAAACCAAAGCTCAACCACACACTGGAAAGGTTTAGCCTGGTGAGCAGTCACCACAGATCAGTATGACTCCTTTCTGTTTATCACTGAAAATCGAGTGAAAACTGTCTGGCCATGCTCACCGGACCCACAGCCTTCACACTCCAGACCATTAAACGACCACAGGTGTCTGTGGCTCCTGTATTTTTGTTATGCTGAGAGGTTTTGAAAGAATGCATTAGTGATCCATATCTGCTACCTCCTCCTGCAAGATGGGAGGACAGCAGTAATGTGAGAAAAGAATGGAAGACACAGAGGGTATCTGAGCACAAAGCTGGAACACAGTAGCCATTCCAACCTCATGAGTTTTTTTGCTAGGTGGTACTTAATCACCAAGCAGGGCACTTGGAAGACAAAACACAAGAAAAATTTGTGTTTAAAGACATAGGACTTTAAAGGGATGTAGTGGAAAAGGCTGTTGAAATCACTGGACACACAGGGCAATTACTTCAGTTCATGGTTTAAATTTAGGCTTGTTCAAAGCATATAAAAAAGGAATTAGCTGATGAAGCATTAAGGTCACATCCTTAAACTTTGTTATGGAGTGATTTTCTTTTATCTGGAGCAGGACGTAGGCACATTTGAGTCAGATTCCAGCAACTGAGTTAACTGGGACAATACTTCTGCTGTTGTGAGAGAAGCTCCCAGAGGAGGATTAGGATCTTCCAGAAGAGTAGCTCCCAGAAAAGCATGAGGGGTAAAAAACCCACCAATATGACTTTCTCTTGACACTAGTGCAGCCCTAGATGGTTTTGGTACTTCATCAGGAATTCTGGTCTTGGAAGCCTTCCACTTCCATGTTTGAGTGCTAGACAGAAAACAACTTCTACAAGCTCAGAGGTTTATTCCTCTGCTCTGTCTTCCACCCCTCTAAATACGAGTTGCAACAGGCATTCAAATCTTTCCAAAAGTAAAGTGCCTCAGGAAATATTCTGCCACAGGAAAGAATACGCAACTCCATTATAGCCGTATTTGAGTGATAAATTACATATTGCTGAAATATTACCATGAAGCTGACTGATTTAATAAGTCTTACTGTTAAAACAAACAGAGTGTGGTAGCTTTGTTTGTTTTCTAGTACAATGAAAGATGATTTCCTAGTTTTTTAAATTATTTAACTTCTAGCTTAATACCAAAAAACCCAAACAAACAAGCCCCTAAAATTAAAAACAACCAACAAAAAACAAACAGGCTTATTTTAACATTTAAAGGTTTTTTTTGTATGAGTGTTACATAATAATATTTTAATTCATCCAGCATGATTAAATAGCAAGATCTCTACTTAATCCAAGCAGAAGAGGAGCTGAGATGAATTAGAACAATGGTTGTATTACTATCATTTACTTTTAAGATTAATTATTATTTAATACTTTTTGATAATAATTCAAATCAATGGGTATGCCTTTTATTGCATGTTTATATAATGCAAAAGTCAACACTAATAGCACATTTAGAAGTGTGTGTATATATCTGTGATGTAAGCAAAGGGAGATGTCAGAAGGATTCAATTCAATGCAAAGACGCTACCCAGAAATTAGCAGTTTAAATAAGTGTTGAACAGAATACACAAAATATATTTCTACACAATTGTTGAATTGTGCAATTATGTAGCTATGTGAAAAAAACCCATCATAGAAATGTCCTTGTCAGCAAATGCCCATTGAAAGAAAAATATATGTTTCTATATGAAATGCAACAGCAGACATATCAGACCCACATCTCAGCAAGATGCAAGAGCTCTCAAGGAGAAAAAGAAATGTTTTCAGCTAGCCATGGCAGAAGCCTAAGGGGTAAATATTACTCAGTACCTGCACATCAAAAGCAGAGAGCCAGGGAAAAAGCAGTGCTTGATTGCAGAGCTTTTTTTGGCACTGTAGAGTTTGGAAAGGCATGCTTAGAAACTTCAAGGCGTAGCCTCTGTGCTCAGCTGTACAGGAAACCAAATTCATAAAAATCAGTCAAAACTAATTGTAAGATAAACGGTTTTTAATTATTTTTTTTCCTCAATAGAAAGAATTAAGCAAAGTCTCAACTGCTTGCTTAAGCTGAGAGACAAGAGTTGTTCCAGAAACATTGCCAAAATCCTTTTTCTGAACATTTTCAAGTAGCAAATTCATTGTGTGAATGTTTAGCTGTAGACAAGAAAAAGAAATGTTTCACTAGAAAACAAAAGGCAGGCAGTCCTCCTAGAAGGAGCTGCAATACCTGAAGGCTGCATTATCATAAATAGCTAAATTTTGGGAAAAGATCAAAGGTGGATGTTCCTGAGCTTTTTCTATTGGTAAAGTGGTGGCTTTCAAGCTGTACAGTAATGTGAGATTTATTTCCATTTATTCCTCAGCCTGGTTGGAGAAACAGCCCCCCCTGATTCTGAGTCACTGCTCATATCCTGCCCTGCTCCAGCACTTCCTCATTCATAGCAGAAGCTCCTCGCAGCAGCACGTTTGGATCTCGAAACGTGCCGAAGGAACACAGGGAGATTCCACAGAGGTAAGTAAGATCAAGTTTTCTATTCTGGATGAAAAAGTGCCAAAATTACAGTATTTGGGCTATGGGGTTTGGCGAAGGTCTTTTACACTTGCTTCACGTGATCTTTCCATTGGGAAAAATGGAAAAGAAACAGGGTGGATTTGGCTTGGGGTTTGGCTTTTTTTTTTTTTTTTCTTTGTCGTGACAATTTGCTAGAGAGGAAAAACTACAGATTGAGGGGGTTCCCAGCTGGGGTGTGCAAAATGGAAAGCGAGCCCATCACTAAAACGAAAGGCATTTCCAACTACTTTTCTCACTGAGCACGGCTTTGCCTTTATTTCTGCTCTTTTTGCTTTTCCTTAGTCATCAAAATGGCGCACTGGCAGAAGTGGGTGTACAGGGAGTCTCAGTTTAGTGAAATTCAGAGGACAAACACTAGGCTGGAAACAATCAAATCACACTTTCTGCCTCAAAATGTCACCTGAGCGAGAGCAAAGGCTCGAGACATTCAGCATCCTAGCAGAAAGGGAGCTCCAGGTAACTTCTCAGGTTCATTGGTCGCTGTTCACAAACTGGCAGAGAGGAGCAGCAGCTATAAAGGAAGGCAAGAGGTCCCAGGGTCCAGGCTGCAGGTAGTGAAGAAGTCAAATGCAAGAGTGACAAGACTAGAAAGAGGGCAACAAACTGCCCAGGCAGGTTTTCCCAAACTGAGTCACTGCGGTTTCTATTACAAGTGGTGGTGGAGTTTGGAAAAGAAAAAAATATTGTTGCACAAATAGGCTCCAGACAAACTTGATGCCTTGGTTTTGACAGATTTATATTAATTAAAAAACAAACCACAAAAACTACACAGCAACAGATGTACATGCCGGTCCCTATAACAGGATATTTTAAACAACTTTCCTATCTTAAAATCTAGTTTTATTCTTGGTAGGTTGTTGCTGCCTTTAAAAGGGACTGTACCCACCAAATTAATGCAGGGACAGAGGAAAGTAGGAGAAATAACACCTGGGAAAATTACAGAGCAGCAGATGCCACAAAGTCCAATTTCTCACACCACTTCCATGTAAACCTGGAACTCGGACCCCCTCAAGAGCCAGTTCATGCTAGATAATCATGCCTTTTTGAAAGCTAAATATAAATGTTTTACCAGTTGACAAAAAGTGAATCCTGAGGAAGAAGTGAAATGACAGAGCTATAGATTTCAGTTCTCATTAAATCAAAAAACTTGCCATTTTTTTGAGTTTATTGTGGTAACACAAGTGTAAGTAGTGCAAAGGTAAAAATCAGATTTTTCATTCCAGAGGAAATAGTTATCTATTTCTGGAAAGAGAAAGGAGATAAGAGGAATTTTCACCTCCAAGTGCTCTTCTTGTAATACAGACAAGGTTATTTAAATATTTGGCAAGATAAGTATTATAGAAGATTATCTGATAGGCTTTCCCCAATTGGGAAAGCCCTAAAAAAAGATTACATGGGTGTATACTGCACTCAGGAGACTGATCTTTTGGTAGAAGAGTCACCAGTTCTGCACATTTTGTCTCCAGAGAAGCCAATCAGTGGTCGGAGGGAGGTGAGGGATGGGTGGGAGAACAACATTTCACTCTACAAAAGAAAAAACATATATTCTTTAAGAAAAAAAAAAAAAAAGAGCCAACACAGGTGCAGTGAACTCTTTAGGAAGCTTCTTTGATTTTCCCACCCTATCAAAGTAAACACCATCTACAGTTTTCTGCTAACATAAAACAGAGAGACCTGGTGGAGCAGATCCAGAAGAAGCCCACAAAAACAGTCAGTGCTGGGACACCTCTCCTCTGAACACAGGCTGAGAGAGTTGAGGTTGTTCAGCCTGGGAGGGCTCTGTGGAGATCTCAGAGAGACCTTTCAGGGGCTGGTAAGAAAGAGAATTTTTACCAGGGCCTGTAGTGGTAGGACAAAGGACAATGATTTTAAACTGAAAAAGGGTAGATGGAGGTTGGACATAAGGAAGAAATTCTTCACTGTGAGAGTGATGAGGCACTAAAATGAGTTTCCCAGAGAAGTTGTGGATGTCCTATCCTTGCAAGCATCCAGGCCAAGTTGGATGTGTCTCTGAGCAGCCTGGTCCAGTAGAAGATGTCCTTGCCCATGGCAGGGGGGGCTTGGAAGAAGATAATCTTTCAGGATCACTTCCAAATCATTCTGTGCTTCTATGATGAGTACTTCAGAGTCCTTTGAAAGAGTTTAGCTGGTTTGTCTTTCACACCCTTCTCACTTTCCTTTTCTGAACTGTTTTACAGCCTTCCCTCCCTCTCAGGACAAAGCAACTGCCTCCTTTGGAAACTGAGCATCCCTGAACAGCCATCAAAGGTGACAGTCCAGGTGCTGGAACATGTCCATGACTGAGCTTTGGTTCAACAACAGGTGAGAGAAATATGGGGAGGAAAGGAAAATGCGTATAAACTGCCCTCCGAGCAGTGAGATAACTTTTCTGCTACAGTGCACTAAATACACACGCACACCTGTGAACATACTTCACTGAGTGTATCTCACTGAACACTGATAATTTTCAGGGGTATTTGGGGATGTGTATAATATTGTGAGTGTACCTGCAGTCATATTTTTCAAAGCAGCCTGAGCCTCAGAGACTTCCATTCATTGATTTGAGTTCACATCTGCTCACATGTTTTTAAAACAACATCTTAACACCTTAAGGCAAATCTTAACCCCAGAACAGGGTGTGGAAGCAGAGGTGTGTGCCTGTGCTAACAGGAGTTGCAGAAATGCTGCTCTTACTGCAGCATTGCATGGGCATGAGCTCCATGTGCTGAAGGGCTGTTATTAATTGCATCACTCCAATACCCAAAGTTTCACTCTAAATTCAGTTCTGTTCTATGAGAAAAGAACACTGGTGAGTGGTGTAATCCAGCTTTTGCTTGGTGTAGTTGAAGAATGCAATTTTATTACAGAATGGGAAGATTGAAGAAAACAGGCAAATTATTCATCTAGATAACTGTGATGGGTTATAAGCTATAGGGTTCTAATTTTTAAATTATTTCTACAACTTAGTTTTGCATGTATTTTCCTGTCACACCACTTCATGCATATGTTACCATGCCATTTTCCGTATTATTTTATTCCACTTATAATTTCCTTTCAAGGCTGCTGAAAAGAGAACACTAAATGAGACTAAGGAGACTACTGTTTGCTTGATTTTTTTTTTTTTTTTTGCTTCCCATCAGTTTATAAATATAATAATTAGTTGTACAGTCCAAATACATTTCTCTACTAAGTGCATTTAAAGTTCAGTATCCAACTCTGGCTTCTCTTCTAACATTTGAGCACTCCATGTTATACTTTGTCATGTGCTTAAGTTCTGAACCAGAATTTTTTTGTAAAAGCAAAATTGCTTTCAGCTTCAATAGTCTTGCCAGCCCAGTGATTGCTGTCAGCACAGAGAGATCAGAGCTAGAGCCAAGCAGATCCTTCCCATTGTGTTGCCAAAGAGGACTGATTTATTTTGACATCAGCAAAGGGAAGAGCATACAGAATTCCATATACTACCTCTTTGAGGTAGACCAGCTTAAACTTGGTTGTTCCTCTTACCCAAATGCAATATTTTATCCAGAGGATGGCATTCTCTTTAAATAGCAGTAGCAGTGATAAAGGGAAAAAAGGAGATGTCCAGAAGCATTTGAGAAACCCACAAGGTGAGAAGAAATGGAGAACAGGAGAGTCCCCACTTTTCCAGCTCTACCATAGATCCAGCAAGGGCCATTCCATGGTTAATTCACTCCCATACACTCCTCACTCATTCACAGTGATGTTTCTGAAGACTCAGGCTGCAAGCTAAGTTTTCCTGGCAGCTGCCAGGACTATAGGTAGCACTGTACTTACACTTCTCTAAGATTTTTGAAATCAAAGCATGACCCTGTATGAATCTAAAAGCCCATAGCAATAGGATCTGTAGAGTAGAATCTGTCAGAGCTTCTGCTGTCTCTTGTAAAAAAAACAATATTCTATTATAGACTGATTTGTTTAAGATGAGGAAGAATTTTTCTTGACAAGAAAGTCTGCAATGACATTTGAGGATGGGAGTGAAAGCTCCCTGGGGTCCCTATGTTGTGTTACATCTCTTGTACTTTTTAAATCCTCTGCTGGGAAAGGGAGCAGGGGCATGAAATTAAAAGCTTTAGGGCTAAAAGGTTTTCCTGGAAAGGTCCCCCTCTACAAGACAGCTATGCCAAGCTAGAGAGCCAGAGGTCTGAATTTAATTTCATTTCATCCCTAGGGCCCATGTAAGTCCCTATGCTGTAATACATTTTACTACATCCTCCCCCATTTCTTCACTCACCACAGAGGAATGAAGCAGAAAAGCATGTGTTGATTTGTACTAGAGTGTTGTCATCCATCCAGTAAGTGCACTCTGGGGAATTCTAATTCCATAGACATTGCTTGGTCCCACACTTGGCATCTATTAAAGCCAAGGAAAGCAGCGGTGCCTTGCTGAGCACAAATTCCTTTTATGACACCAGGACAGAGTTGCACAAGTACCTGGATGAAACCTCCAGAGTCTCAAACCAAAACATCTAATTAAAGAGCTAGCAGGGTTGTATGGTAGGCCTGTCTAGGGGATCTTTGAATTTCCTCATGGGAAACTTCTGTCCTCAAAGATTATCCTCCACACAGTTAGTTTCACCTTTTGAGAACCTCGCTGTGGCTACAATTTTCATGGTGGTCACAGAACGAAGCCATTTTATTACAGGTGTTTTCCAAATACTGCTTACACTGAAGCTGAACAACTCAATTCAGGTTGAGTTGGGTCCTGCACCAGATGATCCCAGTCAGTGCAGCTTTGCTGGCTTGACAGGGTTGGCAGAGCATCCCTGCCTCAGCCCAACCCCAGATGTGCCCCACACCTCAGAAATGAGAGAATCATCTAACTTAGGATAGCCTAAGTTAAAATACAGTTTTATTAGCTTGGCTCCTATTTTCTCCTATTCTTCTGTGTTGAGAGATACACGAACAAGTTCACACTCAGAAATAGCCCTCATGTCAAGGGTTATCTCCAAGGGTAAATGGAAACTTCAGCTCCAATGTGCCTTACATTTACAGGCCATGAAATGCAGGGATTGGGGGATGAAGCAGCTGTAAGAGACAGCTCAGGGAGGTAACACAAATCATGGCAAGCTCACCACTGACTCCCTACCAGCAAGGTGTGGGTCAGAGTATTTCATCTTGGCTACTCCACAATGGGGTCTGCAGGGCCCAGACATTTTGTCATCCCTGAAAAAGTACACAGAAATGGGACTGCTACAATTTCTGAAACCTGTGTTATGTTTCAGAGCTGCTCTGAGGTGTTCACTATCCTTCAGCTGCCAGTTAAATCTCTCAGATCTTGAGTGAGTGATTATAAAAAGGCCAGCGTGTAACACTCTTAAATCAGTCCTCTAAATAAACAGTCCTGGAAGTACCAAGGTCAACTTTGAGTTTCTCACAATCTGAGGCCTTGAAAAATACAAACTTAACAATGCTCTTCAAATCCCATCTGGTAGCAGGACAGGAATGTAAGGGCTTTAGACCACAAAAATGAAATCAGTATTTTGACATCTAGAGAAGATTTCTGCGAGTGCTCCAATGAAGTGCTTCAAAACTAGGTCATGTAAACTTATCATACCTTGAGTGCTTCCTATAAACAATTTCTTCCTTTGACTGAACCCATAAGTTACTACTTTGTTTAACAATTGTCCATCAAAGCACAGGGAAAAATCACACTAGTAGTTACTAGTTAACTTTCCCCAAATGTATCAACAATGGGAGGAAAAAAAAAGCCCAACCTGTTCCAGGACATTCTCACAAATGGACATTTGTGTCTGCAGAAAGGGCAGCTGTAGTGTTTAATACCATTCCATAGTGCTCTGAAGATCCAAACACAATTCTTTGTTTGCCTGCACTATAATGAGGCCTCGGGATGTTTGGCAGCCGCCTGTAAAATATGCAAATTGCCATAAATAATCAATTAGCACTTGGTACTTTCCCATCTGAGGACATCACATCCCTTTTCCTTGGAGAGTTAGGGATGCAGTAGGTGGCACAGAAGTCTTACCCAACACTCCTCCCCACTGCCCCAGCTGAAGTTACGAGATGCAGTTTGGGTGAGAAGTAGGTAATTGCCACATTCCTATCAAGGATCAGTCAACTCAAGTTCCTTTTGAATGCATCAGCTCTTTTTACCAATAAGCAAAGGCAATTTGGAGAAGGAGTCCTGCCTCTCCAAATCAAAGGTTCTGTGCAGTTTTCACCTCAAGTTTAGTCATTTCTGAAGGCCCAAATCTGGCCATCTCTTACCACAAATACTCAGAACTCAAGCTTCGGGCACATTGAAAAGATGGTTTTTCATGAAGGGCTGGTAGCAAGAAAGGCTGTGAATTCAGGCAGTCCAGCTGTGGGAACAGGAAAGACCCACTCAGTTGCTACATCTGTCTAGAGTAAAAGTTGCTACATCTGTCTAGCACATTGCAATGACAAAAATCCTCCTGGCTACAGCTTTGTTAGACATCTCCCAGAAGTGCCTGAAGTGCCTGCTTCCCCAGAATCTGATGGCAAAGTGGAAAAATAAATTCTTTACTTTGGTAGCAACAGCTGTGCATTGAATAATGTGTTTCATGAGAGTTTAACTGTGTTGGAAAAGCACTGACAAGTACTTTGAGACATGCAAATAAGGACATCCCTTCCATCCAAACAAAATATTCACGGCATACTACGAGATGCCAAAAGACTCCAGCCAGATAGGATCCTGCCTCTAACCTTCACATGAATAAATATTAAAGTACTTAGCCTACTATTTTAAACATTTTGTGCAAGAATAGAATGAAGGAATGTAGTCTTTTCATTAGAAAAGACTTAACTAGAGAAACCCAGAGATAAACAATGATCTCTCGCATATATAGAAACAGAGTTCCTTCAGCTGATATTTTACACATCTCGCTTTCACAGAAAACAGGTCTATCCTCTGGTGTTTACAGTTCTCAATTTGTATGATATGAGAGAAAACTGAGATCCTGACTCTGATTTAGGACTGTTTGCACCTTAGGAGCTCACTAGAGCAGAGAATATCAGAGGAGCTGGAGAGTAACCAGTTATCACAGCTTGGGTGCTCAACATTTTTTGTCATGACTCTAGGAAATGTGAACAGAGACACATTTGAGAGGGCTGGCCCTGACACTACACAGCCATAACCATCTGCTCAGTCATGGATGGCCTCATGAATGACACTGGTTCTCTGGTATCCCAGGAGAAGACATCCAAGGATTCAGAGTTCTTCGGTGATATTAGAGATGTCCACTCACACACACCCTTGATTTTTGGCATGGCTAGAACAACCAGTGCATCTTTCTGCCCTTTATACTCCAAGGCACATCATG